GAACTAAGGGTCTGGGTGCTGTCCTAAGTTTTTGGTTCAAGGCTAGCACTCTACCACTTGAGCCACAGCTCTACTTTCTGGCTTTCCTTCCTGGGCTGGCAATGAACTACAATCCTCAGATCTCAGCCTCTGGAGTAGTTAGGATAACAGGCATGAGCCACAAGCCAAGCGCTAGGCTCAAGTTACTTTTTTTTTTGAGGCATGCTTTATCCTAGGGAAGGAGGCTCAGTATGAGCTCAGAGTTCTCTTTCTGTTGAACTTGGTGATTGTGTCTTCATTTTAAGCAAGTCCTTGGAGAGTCAAACTACAAAGCCACTGACACCCTCCCAAAGATCTATATAAAGGTGAGAAATGGAGTCACCCCACACTGAAACTCTGAAACTCTGTGGAGCTGGCTCCTGTTTTTCCACCCTAGCAGCTGAATTTTCCCTGAGGCTCTATGTACACGACCTTGTCATTTGCAGAGTCCTTCACTAACTTTCTGTCTAGTCCTTCCTCCCTCTGTGTCAGAATTCCCACAATCTATACTTTATTTTCCTCTTAGAAGTCAAGCAAACTGACCTGTTACTGATTTAAAAGGTAAAACAATATAGCCTTTGGTTTTGAAATAACTACAGACTCACAGGATTGCAAAATAGTACATAGAGTACCACACACTTTCTGCTTAGCATCCCCAATAAGATGGTGATACATAAATGCAGTAAAATATCAAAAACAGGAGTTGGCCCTGGGTCATTGCTGTTCTCTAGACTACTGTGTAACCAATTTTGGACAAACATCTCAAATCATGATAAAACACTTACTACTTTGTCTTGACATGGGGTAAACGGACTAATGAGGACTTTGGTACCCTCACAGAGCTGAAGCAAAGCTGTAGGACTGTGATTCCAGGCTGGGTGATGGATCATGTCTGTAATTGTAGCTATTCAGGAGGCTGATATTTGAATGATCAAGAGGGAGGGAGAGAGACAAGGTCTCACCATATAGCTCTGGCTAGTGTAGAATTTACCAATGCTGGATTACAGGTTTGTACCACTGTGTCTGGCTCCAGTCTCATACTTGGAATTTCCTTTTTCTCTTTTCATTTTCCCTCTCCCTCCCTCCCTCCCCCTCCCTCCCTCCCTCCCTCCCTTCCTTCCTTCCTTCTTCCATCTTTCCTTCCCTCTTTCCCTTCTTCCCTCCCTCCCTTCCTTCTCCTACTATCCAAATCCCAGACTGCCTGGAATTCACTCCATAGCCCAGGTTGGTCCCAAACTTATGATCTCTTTACCTCAGCCTTCCAAGTGCTGGGATTACTGGTGTGTACCACCAAGCTTGGCAGGTGGTTTCAAAATTAATGACACTTCCTGTCTATAATTAGCAATTTAGGATTGCTCGGCCTGCCATAGGTAGGTGTTTCTTCCTCCACCAGCATGGTGGGAACATTGGAGTCTAACTAGCCGGCACAGGCGGCTGGGAATGGGCCTGCTTATTGCCATCCTGGCAGCCATGTCTTGGGCGTGCTGGTTAGGGTTAGGTGACACTGGCCTGCAGAGGAGAGTAGGAACAAAGATTATGGAGAAAAGCCATTCCCATGTCCTTTCTCTCTATGGTTGGACCTGGCTTATGAATTTACCTCACCAGGTGTTTGCAGCTTCTTTGTGAATATGAAGAGGCTGTTTTAAGTAATTATCTAGTTCATCTCCCAGCTACAAGGTCCTTCTCAGCTGTTTCCTTCCAAACAGCTTCATTGTTCTGTGTGACATCTCGTGACTCACAATCAGCTCTTCTCAGGGCCCAGGCTTGAGCTGTCTATAATGAGATCCTGAGGGGAGGGGGGACAGCTAGCTGCTGTTTGTGTCAAATAGAGGACCCTAGCCCCAAAATAGAAACAAAAACAAGCTCTGTTCCTAACTGGTTTCCTTCCTTGAGCTCTGACCTAATTGCCTAACCTCTGTAATTCCCCAAAGTCTCTTTGCATTTGGCCTCAAATAGGGTCTAGGGCTGTGACTCAGAATCTAAGAGAGACATGGTCACCAACCAGCTCTCAGGCCTAGAGTAGCTCTGGCTATAAGAATGTTATGTTAGGGGCTGGGAACGTGCCTTAGTGGTAGAGTGCTTGCCTAGCATGCATGAAGTCCTGGGTTCGATTTCTCAGTACCACATAAACAGACAAAGCCGAGTGGCGCTGTGGCTCAAGTGGTAGAGTGCTAGCCTTGAGCTCAGAGACTCAGGGACAGTGCCCAGGCCCTGAGTTCAAGCCCCAGGATTGGTAAAACAAAAAACCCAAACTACCACCACCAACAAGAATGTTATGTTACAGGAATATTATTGATGTTTATGACAGCCTTTTCAGAAGGACTAAGTTTGTGGTATCCAGCAAGGGATTTGGGAGTTACTGAAGGCCTCCAGGACGATAGTTAAGGTGAAGATGGGGTGAAAGAGTTAAGGGCATAGCTGGGCATGGTGGCTCATACCTATAATCCTAGTTACTGAGGAGGCTGAGACATGAGAATCTGGGTTTGAAGCCAGCCCAGGCAGGAAAGTCAGTGAGATTCTTACTTCCAATTAACCACCAAAAAGCCAGAAGTGAAGCCTGTGGCCTGTGGCTCAAGTGATAGAGTAAAAGGAAGATTAATGACAGAGCCCAGACCCTGAGTTCAAGCCACAGGACTAGCACAAAGAGAGGGGGAAGGAGGGAGGGAGAGAGAGAGGGAGAGTGTTAAGGATATTTAAACCAGCAAACTGAGCAGGTAAATTCTCAGAATATATTTGCTGTGGGGCTGTTTATAAAGCATTTCCCATTGAAGCAGTTTTGACCTCCCACTAAGGCGCAATCTACCTGAGGCTGCAGGCCATTAAAAAGACACAACAAAACAAGTGGGGATTTGTCCTTGCCCTGCACTAACATCCAGATTGGCAGGCCCTTAGACAGCTACGGGGGTAGGGGATTAAGGCGACTTCCTTTTGCCTGCTGGGTATCTGGTAGGGTAGGCAGGGAGGAAGAAGTAGGCCTTTGTTGTGGACACCCTCTGTGATGTGCATTCAGGGAGAGGGTGCCTAACTGCAAAGGCTCAGCAGGAGACAGACGCATGTTCTGGGTAGCCTGGGATGTACATCCTGGCCAGATGCATTCTCCAGGTCGAAAGATGAAAGGGTGTCTCCACCTCTCCACCTCTGTCTGCTCCCCTGGAATCCAAACCAACAACCCATTGTCATCAAGCATTGGGGGGTGAAAAGCTTCCATCTGGGGCGTTCGATTGTCCTTTAGGTGTGTACCAAATCTCTAGTGGGCAGTCAGGAGTGGGACAGCAGGCCTGTAGTTCCAGTACCTGGGCATAGTAGAGGCAGGAGAAGGGGAAGATCTGGGCCAGTTTGGCAACCTAGCAGCGATAGAGCCGGTCTCAAAGGCAGGACTAGACTGCAGGCGCACAGGTGCCTGGGCCCTGGGCGCGGCTCCTCTCCGGGCCTGAGCGGCTCCGGTGCAGCTCAACCCCTCTCTCGGCCCCCGTGTGGGGCGGGGTGCGGCGTGGGCATCCGCCGCTTTCCTTTCCGGGTCAGCCCGCTCTTATTTCAGGCGTGGAGTGGCACCATCCCTGGGGCATTCTAGGGTGTCACCTCTGGCATTTGCTCCCATGGTGGAAAAACAAGTCCGCATGCAATGCATCGGGTTTCTGAACAGCTGCAGGAGCGCAGAAACCTGACGGTCAGCAAAGCTGGCTGTGTGTGAGTAGGGGTGGGGTGTGGGGGGGTGAGATGCAGGAAACACGAAATGATGGGGTGCGGGTTGGAGCAGGACGGGGCGGGGATAGGGGACCGTGGCCAAGCAGGCATCTCCCTAGGCGCCCGGGGC